CTCAGGAACATTCAATTCGTTCATGAAAAACAAAATAAATTGTACATACGGTGTTGAAATATCGCCAATCGCTTGAGGCGAGGCAAACATAATCAAAAGATTCAAGGTAGATACTGATTTCTAATTATTTGTGATCTGACAACATTATATACGCATTTCTGTGCCTGTTGAAAATTTGTTTGCCGGTTTATAATCATCGAGGAAGAACTATGTTGACGGATAGTTGATTACGTAACGTTAAGTATGGTTTATCATATGACAACTTAGTGCATTGAAGACTTGAACATTATGACAATGACAGGTATCCAAATCTATTGCCAAAATCGATGAGCGATTATCCCAGCGATTTCAGCTTTTCCATCTGAGTTAATTATTCCCATTAAAATTAGGTTTAATATGAGCCAAACAACAGTCCTAACACAGTATGAATCGTGGCTGTTCTTAAAGCCACACTTCTTTGTCCAAAGTCTTCCTTATGGTCAGCAAAATTTCTTGTCCACTGAAATAGCATACGTAATTCAATACAAAATAATAAGAAATTGGTAAACATACAGTATTCGCTAAAGACTTTGCAACTTTACATGATGAACTTCGACTTACAACTTAAGCATATGCATGGTGACACTATTTTAATTCATTGAATGTACTTAATTCTGCGAAAGCATTCTTGTTATGAAAATCATCGTCTTACTTACGTTTTTTAAGAGAAATTGCCATAAGATTTGGTGAAATTAGGAGTAGTGTCATATCGAAGGATTTTCCCTTTGCTATTACGGAAGACAAAATTCAACTGTTTATTAATATTGATTAAACTATGCTATATTAGAAGGACATGCATATTTTAGATTCCGAATCTGCTGATAGTAAGTAGCATCCACTGCAGTAGACGGTCTGACAGAAATGAGGCGTTATTCCACAAGGAGACCTCATAAAATACTTTTAATATACGCATGGCCGGCATAATTCTGACAGTATCTCATATTACCCGTTCGAGAAAGAGAGAGACCTATAAAAAGAGCTATTGTGTACTGCAAGTAAGTACTGCATTTAAACGATTACATGTGATATAAAACGCAACCGTAAAGCATACAAGCGGTATATTTCTTACGATTCTGCCACAGACATTCGGGTTTCATTTTCGCTGAATGAAAACGTGTGTCTAGGACGACAGTTTATGCAAAACAAAATGAAGGAGAAGAGACAGTGTCGGTTTCGCTGTAGAAAAACCGCCAGGTACCGAAAACAAAATTTTGCATTGCGCAACCTTGTGTTTGACCTCAGCTAATAGCCTCCGTTAGCTGGCAGTGAACTGGCGTTTGCTTCGTTACAACGCTTTCTTCATTATTAAAGCAGGGTGCGATGTCAAGTCTGGCAGCTATTAT